AATTTTGGATTGAACCAAAATTAGGTTCTTTATCTCAGTTTTTTTCAGCACAAAAAACCAAAGTAGTAATGTTTTGTTGACATTTTGGTCAACATAAATTTTTTTTTTTTTTAACACAAATGAAAAGTGTTTGTTTTATTCCCATGTTACCTGACCATTTAAATTCAGCATTTTTAGACAAAAATTGTTTCAAAACAAGAAACAATAACTTAATTGCTAAAATATTAATACAAATGCTTCAGCTTAACATCAGGAATTTTAGGTGCTTCCACTTACCTTTTTATGCTATGATTTTTTGTTTTCCCAGCTGAAAATATTCACTAAAGCTCAACCCATGTTTGTTAGCAACTCTCTCCCCTCAAACTCTGCTTTCTGTTAATTTAACCCAGAAAACATTCCCTCCAATAGGCCTGCAGCATCTCATTGATTTCACTGGGACATGAATGCCATCATCAGGAATTGTACTTACCAAAAGGATGAGAAACTGGCATTTTCCTGAGACCTGGGACACTAACTTGGGAAGCTATTTTTGGTAGATTATATAGCTTTTTTTTCCCTGGGAAGCTGTGACAGCATCCACAATATTTTCTTTTGTAATGTCCTGGGTAGAAATCAGAATGATGGCAGCAAAATGCTCAGGAACAACTTGTACATCCTAAGGCACATACGTAGGTATGTGTAAGAGTGAGAACAGGCTTTCATTAACTTGGCATTAACTTCATAGATCAGACAGCTGTCCATGTTGAGCTAAACAGGCTGTAGTCAATTCCCAGTAAGGACAACTGAAAGTCTTATAAGCCATAAAAAAATGGGGACCACTCAATTTTCAGACACGTGCATCAGGGAGCCATTTCGCAGGGTAACACTTGACAGATATTTTCACTCTTCACAGCATAGAGGTGGCCCAACAATCCCCCTTCATCCCCAAAGCCAAAAGGCAATTTGTGGAGAGCAGCTTCCTGCTGCTTATACTAAGACAGTGTGGGCAGCACGGCCTTTCAGACACCCAGGACACCCTGTGGACCAGCCACACCACATCCGTGCTGGCAGTGGGCAGCCAACCCCCAGCTGAGCTGCTGCGTGGGATGCCTGCAAGCGCAGAGCTTCCCATGCCTCATGGCATCACCAGGCTGGCAGTGGACAAGCGCGCCCACTGCCTATGCTTCGCTGCCCCTTCCCAAGGGATGTAGGAGCCATCCTGCCACCTGCATGGAAGCATGCACAACACATCAACAAGATGCAGCCATTACCCCCACCAAAAATGGGCTCCCCATCATGCTGGTGAAAAAACAGGTCCTTCAGCGTCTTTGCTGGAGCCTATGTGGTCCATCACAGCCAAAACATTCCTCGTCCAAAGGCTGCAGAAATCCCAGTGGGCTGCACTTCATGGGATGGGTCTGGACTGTAAATGTAGCTGTAGAAGACTTGTGACAAATAAAGAGCTCATTTATGTTTTAGAAGAGACATTGAGGTCCCTCCTCTCAACTGCCAAGTTAACAGGTTTCCATCACATGTTTTTTTAAAAATCCACGAGAGCCTGGAAGTGGATGCTCCCAGAGTTAAAGCAAAACTTTGACTTACTGAACACTGCCTGGCAAAGCTAAACAACAACCACTGAGCCATACTGCAATATGCAAGTATTAAAAAGTAAATTATATTAGGTGTTAGCTGCTGTCACAGTGACCCGTATCTTAGGGTTTCAACTGCATCTCTGCTACACAGTCCTCCTAAAGCAGGCTTTATTACCAAGCTTTTATATGTGCCACTGTTCAATCAAATAAGCAGCCTTCTGCCAGAGTGTGAGCAACATTAGGAAGTAGAACTGACTCATTTCAAGTCTCCTAAGAGCAAGGAGCAATGAATACAACCTCAGGAAATGAAAAACTGAACCAAGAGTGAATGTTCAAAAAGAAAATGTGAACTTTCACAATACAAGCTTGTTTTCTTTACACTGGCCAAGTCTCAAGGTGGCTGACTTACTGGTAACTAGATATAATGAAATGCATCAGTCATGTTCTTAATATCAGCATTTCAGCCTTCAAAAGGTGAACATGTCTGAAGGGGTCAGGTTCCCCATGGGCTGATGCAGAGTTGCTTCCTCAGCCTAGTGCCGATGGAAGGAGAGGGCCGTCAGGCAGAGCTGGCTCAGCCAGCCCAAGAGAAAATGCTTTGGCAAACATAATTACTGTAAGATGCAGCTCTTCTGCAGAACCCCAATAATGGAAAAAGCATCCAGACACTGAAGAGGTAAATGCAAAATGCAGCAAAAATAACTGTAACAAGCAAAACGTGAACGTCTTCACTGATTGACCAGAGACTAATTGTGGAAAGAGGAACAGTCAAGTTCAGGAACAATATTCTGACACTTCCCTACCAGGACGAAAGAGGGGAAGAGAAAGGTCAGGAGAGCACTAAGGCACCCACATTGCTGCATGGAGCGAGGATGGAAGCCCTCCCATGGCCTGCACTGCAGAGCTAGCCAAAAGGCAATAGCAGGCTTAGGCCACTTGCAGACAAATTTTTACTTAGAAGTCAGGCAGCTGGAGAAGCAAGGCTGACCATGAAGATCAGACACCCACTAGCCACCCAAGCTGCAGAGGTATCTTGCTGCTTCACAGACCTCAGTTTGGCAGCAACTTCCCCACCATGGGCTACCCTTGGGTCTCCCAGGGAAGTGCAAGGACAGGGGAAAAGCCCTGCAGAGCCTGCAGGCACAGGCAGGCTCCACAGCAGGCGGCTCAACCATGTCCCCATGCAGCTCTCCCATCACCATGAGGACGGGCCTCCACACTGCAGCATCCTCCCACAGCCTGGCTCTAGGATGCCGCCAGGCCAGCCCCTCCAGGGCGATCTGGCTGTTGACAAGCAACAGCTTCGTGGAGGGTATGTGCTTTTCATTCCAAACAAACACACGCTTTACAGATCAGAGGTAAAAGATTTTATTATCCCATGGATTCTTCCTAAGAAGTAAGAGTCCTACCAGACAAAATATACAAAGCATCTTATGTTTTCTTTCTAGACAAACGCATTCTCATCCTATGAAACACTGACCACATTAGTTCACCTTAAAGAACCAAGGTTTGTCCTTACAGCTGCGGGATTGCACGGAGTTAGCATATTCAATGACTAGTTAATTCATGCAGAATAAGAAGGAAGGGGAAAAAGGTCTGTAATGCTCACCTGAGTGCAAGCTTATGTTCCTAGAAATGAAGAGAAATGTGGGGCTTAAATTTACCAGTTTGTGGCACTTCCATTAAGCGAACCAATTCTCTGACTGACTTCTTGTCATCCACTCCACAATGAAAGGTTAGGGCTAGCAGCAAGTTATCGTTGGAAAAACACAACACTAGAAAAGCAAATACCCCTCTGGCAGTGGGAAATTTCCTTACTAACCTGCATGAAGTGCACATAATTCTTCATTTTACATCAAGCTTAAAGCAGAATGAAACCAAAGTGTCCTCCTTTACTCATTGAAACTTAATGTTTATAGCTGACCATGTTTTATATAAAAAAAGAAATTCTCAGCCTCTAAGGACATACTAATTCCTATTGCATTACATGATCATTTTGAGATCCCATTTTGTTTTCACATAATTAACTCCCAGTATTATTACTTAAAAGTTTTATTCTAAAATATATTCCCTTTTTTTGGTTCTGCTGAGTTAATGATTATACTTGCACTTATTTTATCCTTCCTCTTCTAAAACAACAAGCTCATTTCCACAGATGGTGAACAGGTCCAGATTTGCTGGAAACCAATTAGCAACAATGTGCCAAGTTGAAACTCACCCCATTCTTTCAAGCCAAAAAATTGCCTGCATTTCAAGAACCTAATTAGCTTTAACTATATTTACAGAACAGAGGGAAGAATATTTAATTACTCTGCAATTCTTCTGTCTGATTATCAATAGAAATGCAGTTTCATTCACACAATTTCTCTGCAGTATATTGATCAGCTGAATCTTGCCTTGTATCAATATCTGTACTACAATGGTGCCTGCAGATAATGTGATACATGGCTGGACTACAGTAATTACTATCAAAACAGCTTTCATCAGAGGAGTTATACAAGAATACATACTCTGTTAAAAAAAAAAAAAAAAATCTGCTTCCACACTTGCCAGTAACTACCAGTTCTGCTGCTGATACCACTTTGTACACAGGCATGACACCCTATCCGCACGCAGATGGAATCTCAACAACTCAGGAAGGCAGACCCCGTGTGAACATAACTCATATTCCCAAGCAAGCAAGGCTGGCCAGGACAGACACAAGGCTGGAGTAAACCACCCGGCTCCACTCGCAGCCACAGCCTATAGATGGGACATCAGTGGAGCTTTGGCACCTTGCATCAAAGATTCACCTCTTTATTTACTTGAGCAAAGTGACAGCAGATCTGCCCTGGATCCACAGCCGCTGCAACTGTGTGTTAAAGGGTACACAGCCTTGCACTTCACTCTCTGTTTTGTGGTCATGGAGCAGGGACATGCTGTGCCATTCCCAGCCCACCTCATTGCCCCTTACCCTGGCCTCCTACCCACCCTGAACACCCATCAGGATACCCTGCATTGCTCAGTGGGTCATGCTGAGCCATGCCACATTCAGGAGGAGATGTGATGAGGGGTGAGTCCAGGAGCCAGTCATTAAAAAACCCCACATAGTGGTTGCTTTCAATGTTTGAAATCTGGTCTTCAGGGGGACAGCACAGAGCAAGCTGGCACCACCACAGCATGGTTTGGGCAGAAACCCTCCCTCTGCTGAGCTTTCTGAACCACCCTGTCTGTAGCCTCACAACTCTTCTTTTCTTAAATGCATCTGGTTATGTATATTTGGTCATTACATCAGCATCAAAATGGTAACCCTCCCCTCTTGTGCATACACCTTCTGTCCCAGTGCCAAGGCAGCCCCAAAGCACTGTACCAGCCTGAAATCACTCAGCCAGGAAAAGAGTACCTATTTCCAGCACTCCTATTTCTCAGCCACCCCTTCAACCCCAAACCTGCTTCCAAAAGAGATTTCCATCCTGTGGTGTGGGAGAAGCTGCATCTACTACCAGGTTATCTTCAACCACTGTGTAAATTTAAGCCCAGCAAACGTCTCAGGTAGGTAGCAGGGAGAGAAGAGAATCCACTGTGAGGCCATAATAGGCCCAAGAGGTTAGAGCTGCACAAGCAGGGGAGTAAAAAAAGTAAGACAGATTACCATGTCTAAAGAGAGGGCTGAGAGCATGTGTATGCAAGCAAAGCCAAGGAAGGTTACATGTGGAGAGTGGCTTCATGACTTTTTGCAGATAACAGTTTCAACCACAAAAGTGTTTTCAAAGTGACGAATATGATGACAGTTTCCAGCCTCGCGTCGACTGATACCTAGAAGTGATTGAAAGAGAGGAGAGGGGAAATTCAACAAATGATAATCTATAAGAGCTGCAGCAAGTGGGGAAGGAAAGCAGATGAGACGCAACAGCAGAACACAGAAATGCAGCAACAACATAGCCCATACGAAAAGCAGCATAATCCGGTCTTTGGAAGAATGGCCATATTCTCTAGGCCATGGTCCTGCAGTAAGAGCTGTCATGAGCTGGGGGAGCTGCCTGGAAACAGCTGGTTTCAGCTGACAGCATCTCAGTGTTAACTCAGAGACCAGAAAGCCTCACGAAACCAGCAGAAGTCACAGGCTGGTACAGAGCACAGCTCTGAACGCAGCCAAGGAGGGCTTAAAATCACCACTCCTCTGGCAGTTTGTATCTCTGCATGCACTGATCCTGCTATGGCCCCAGCCTCTCTGGGAAACAAGTAATGCTCCCCATGCCCTTAAACTGCAAGACCTCAACTCTGGGCAGCTCTGCCAGGCAGCTACTCCCCTCTTACAGCAAACCCGGTGGTGCCCTGCTGACGAACAGGACCATGCCAGGGCTCCACAAGAGCAGCAGCCAGTGTGCCAGCAGCCCCACGCACAATTGTGCAGATCCTGTTGGGAAAGCAACCACGAACTACAGCCATGGTGACTTCTGCACCCAAATGCTATCAGCACCCTGCAGCTTCCCCAGAGATCCAAACCCAAACTGACTATAGGTTCACGTTTCAGGTGAGCCTTTAAGTACACCAGTATCTAAAAACAAATAAATACAAATACTGAAATTAAGGATATATAAGGTATATAAGGATATATTAAGGTATATAAGATACATATTGCTGATTTTCATGAAATCATTCTAGGGTAGTCAAATGTTCTATCTTCACAACTTTTCCCATATTATTAGGAACTTTATTAAATAAAGGCAATTTGCAGATCTAGTCTGCTCTGAATAGTTGCCACTGAAGTGGGCGTTTCCATTAGAAAAATTTTCCAAACCGTTCCCAACAGCACTGCTATTAGTTCAGCCTCATGAGCCCACATGTAAATGAATTGCTGGGTCCCCTAACCATTTTCTCAATGTTTCTATTAGGCTGATAGATGATAGAAACACAGCAGCCTGAACCCATTTACAGCAGCATCATCCCATATTTGGGTTTAGATTAATTAGATGAGAAACACTTCAAGAGATCTCCTGTGTGCTTACACCCACAGTGAAACCTCCTCTCTCGTCATGAAGAGGCCAGCATGGCTGTAACAGCAGAAATAATGATTGTGATGTGGGGGCAAAGCGAGTTAGGACAGCTGAACACAGCAAGGCTCTTACGTCTCCTCGCACTTCTCCGCTTCAGCCTGTAAGTCTCCTTGCCGCTGCAGAGACGGTAGATGAAGGAGCCGAGCTGCTCCATGTCACTGACATGCTCAGTCGCGATCATCTCCTCCTGGATTATGTACGTCTGAGGCAGGTACGTCCCTTTCTGAAACGACACAGTTTCCACCAAAATAAAGCACAAGTGGTGCCATGATCTACTCCTTGAACAGAACTGTCTCACACAGAGCACCAAGAACAGCCAAACTGCAGAAAATTCACTGTTTGAAGGCTCAAGCTCCACTTACTGAGGCCAGTTAACATGCTTCCCTGTCCTTGCAGTAAACTGTCTCATGCTACTAGCGCAGGGCACACAAAACAAATTAAATCCAAGAATTGAATGTTCACATAGGGGATTAAGCCAACGTAGGATCAACCCTGTTATAAACTAACCCCAGTTTTAAAGGAGGGTGTGCGAAGCTGTAACTCTGAGAGCACAACAAACCCATCTGGAAAGGGATCAAGGCTCAACCAAAATGCCAGGAACTCCACTGAAAATGTGGATTTTACACTTACTTCAAAAGGCAAAAACCAAAAATGCCAGCCCTGCTCAGATTCCAACAGTTTCCTGAGTTTTTCACATTTCCCCCTCCTCCTTGGTCCATTCAGCACAGCCACAGTGATCTCCTGCCCTTATAGCCCACAGGAACGGGGACTAGAGATGGACACCACATTCAGAAACACCGCCCTGCATGATAGCGCTAGGCAGTCAGGGGAAAGAGAACTCTCGGCACACTTGCATCACCCTGCAACATAATTCAGTGACTCTGGGGCAGTACAGGAAGGCAGCTCACGCCAGGGACCGAGCTGAGGCAAAGCAGCACACACAAGCTCCCTGCTGTTGGGGTGGAGGCCACTGTGAAGACCAGGGTGATGAGTGGGGTGCCTGGTGGGGGGACATGGTAGAAAGTAACCAGGGGCTGGAAAAAATGGGGAGAGAGAAAATGGGGTACCTGGGAGCACCCTGGGGATGGAGGCCACCTCTTCCCCTGCAGGAAAGAGATCTGCTTGGCATTGAAGACTCTCTGCAAGCTGATCCCTGGAAGCTCAGGGCATCTTGCAGCTGTCTGGGCACCACTGTGGCAATAAGCAGCTGTGTTACAAGGACACCTTGGGCTGGGGGGGCACTTCTGAGCAGACTAGATGCTAACTAGGCCGTGAAGCAAAGACTCACTTCTGGCCCCTTTCGCTTAAGAAGAGACAAAGAAATAAAAGAACCAGCAGATCCTGGGTCCAATATAAATGTAAACAAGAGGAAAAGCAAGCAACAACAGCACAATTTCAAATACCACCTCTTCAGTTTCCACCACAGGGCTGGTTATCTCCATAGAGATGTACCTGGAAACACGCTGTCTTAACTTCATGCCGTGCTGTTGGGCTGGCATAGCCTACTGGATCAATAAAGCTCTCCTCTAATGCTGGAGGACTAGGCTATTAGTGGAAGTTTGTACTACACTAACACAACAGTTCTGCAAGAAATTCAATTATTGATTCTCAGTGGGAGAGTGCAGGACAGGGCATGCGATATGTGCAGTTACTGGCAGGAGCTATCATGTTAACACTCGGGGCTGGGGCTCAGGATTTGCCATATCCTTGAACTGTTGAGAGGGCTTAGAGAGACAGACACATGCACACAATCCAGTTTCTTCATTGTTTTAGAGTTAAATAGCTGTGGCACCTGAAGTAGTCAGGAATAATCGCTCCTCCATCACAGGACTGTGCAACAAGGACAATACCTTCAATTCTCCACCAAGAGTTTTAAGAAAACTAAAGCTTTGAGCATTTTGTGTTCCGCATAAGGTGTGGATTGTTCATCATTTAACTGGGTCATCTCCAATTTCCTGCTGCTGCACGAGGGAAGCATCCCTCCATCCTTTTCTCTCAGATACTTATGCAGCCCTGTTCACTAAACTGTCACACCTATACAGAATATAGCCTGCAAGAAGGGGCAGAGCTGCCATTTACAGGCAAAAAAATCAGACACAAGAGGCCTGGTAATGCATACACGGTGACAGCAGGGCCAAGACGTGAACAGGGTCTGGCACAGCCGTGCCTACACACAGCAAGGATTGCAGAGCAGGCACAGGACACGTGACAGCCACACTGCAATGGGGCACCTCAGCACCAGGCTGGCTGGGGAGAAAAGTGCAAAGGAGGTTCACTGACTCCCTGTGCTGCCACAGTCTGCTGGAGCAAACCGCTGGTGTTATTTGCTAGACTAAGGTTTGGTCCTAGAAACAGGACTGAAACCACTGAACATCTTCAAAAGTAAACTTTCAGCTGGAAATTAGTCTCATTTGTTAGGGACTTGACTGGATTCAGAGATGCAGGGAAGGCAAAAGTCTCCAAGTCCAAGGACCAATGCAGCATCCAAACAGGAGCACTTCTGAGCAGGGGGGCAAGTCATCAGGTGATGAAGGTCCCTGCAGCAGGAAGAAATCTGCCCTCTCTGCCTGACACAGGCCACCAGTAAGGCCCTACCTGTGGACATTAAGATCATGGGTTCACAGGCTAATTCAGCTGGGGAGGGACCTCAGGGCTTTACCCAGTCTAGTCTTGAAAACCTTTAAGGATTTCAAGGAGGCAGTACAACTTCCATGGGCAACCTGTTCCACTGCTTCACTATCCTCCTGGTGATAAACTTTTTCTGAGCTCAAGACCAAACTAAACACTTAAAAACAATGTCTCTAAGGTGCATGTTAAAACCTCCACAGACAGATTAGACACTTACCCATCCCAATGATCAGAAAGTTACTTAAACCCATATCTGCTTTGTACTCCCTTTAAAGAATAAAACACGTAAGACCATTTAAATTGTATTTTTATCCCCTTTTTAAATTCAATTTCTGATAAAGACAAAGTATCATTTTCATTGACTGTGAGTTTATATCTGTTATTTTAGGATGTGACCAACATTCCCAATCTCTCAGTTTTTTTTCTGGGGCTCTGCTGTCAGGTTGTACAATCTTGCCTTTTCCATTTCCCTCTGCCCCAGGGCCTGGTCACCTGCCATGGTGAGAAGCTGTGGCTGGTTTGGAGTGAGTTGTAAGTAATGTGTGTTCTACCTCAGTAGGGTTCCCAGCACATTTGCCAGACGGTCACAGTGCAAGAAATTGCGAGGACAGCTAGGAAACAAACTGGGAGTTTGACAAGGACTGGAGATCAGGCATCTCTCAAGGCACAACTTTTTGCCTCTGAGCTTAACCCCTACAAAGTTCATCACGCTGCATGTAGCAGCAAGTGAGCAAAGGGAATTTAAGAAAGAGAAAGAGTTAGATTGCTAGGCGTTTTTTTCTTTTCTTTTAAACAGACCATCACAGAAGGGAGTCAGAGACCCAGGCTCAGTGCTTTGCTTTACCTGCAAAAGACTGAGATAGATATGCACCTTCTGCAGTCTGGGTTTTTTTCCTGCTGCTAAGATTAAATAGCACTCTATTTTAAGACGACTGTTTCCAGTCACTGCAATTGTGGTACAGGCTTCTGAACTGAACAAACCTGCTGGTACTAAACCCAATTAATGCCTGCTGTGAGCAAAACATGAGCCCAAGTCCGGTGTTGCAACCTGCAACACTGCGGGGAGGGCAGCACAGATTCCACCCCCAAAGGGTGACAAAGCTCTGCAAATGGCAAACTGCAGCAGTAACCAAGGCAAGAGTGGAAGGAGGGAAATTTTTCTTTTTTTCCTTGATTCCTATTATCAGTAAAAAACAGAGGGAAGGAATCTGCTGCTTCTCTGCGTCACACTGGTCAGGCTGATCCATCATGCCAGTGCTACTGTGCTGCCTGCAAAATTAATATTTCAGCTAAACCCCCTGAAGCCCTTGCTCTACGTGAAGGCTCAGCTCTGTCAGGGCCAAGGCTTACTTCCACAGACACAGCAGTTTTGGTTTCCCATGAGATTCTAGCTGGCACTCAGGAGCCAACTAAAGAAAAGCATGCAAAATAAACAGGATTGCAGCTGTACCTTCACGTTAACCAGCAGCTCCCACAGGTTGCGAGGAGGCATCACAATAGTGGTGTTCAGCTCGATAACGTAGCACTTATCCAGCGTTATGTCATGATAAGCTGTCAGACCCTGCATTCCAGGCAGAGAAATTTAGGAATTGAGCTCTTTGCAATGAAATGTGGCTGGGAAGATGGGTGAAAAGAGGAAATTCAGGGAAGACAGGAAATTGCTTTAAGCAACAAACTTGTCCAAGGACCTCCCTACCAAGCAAGACGAGCATGTTGGAAAATCTCAGAGAGGGCCTTGGGACAGAGGACAGCTCAGTTAACAAGATCATCGTAGACATATGTGACATGAGCACCATGCTGGTGCACCCCAGCTCAGTCCCGTGCTACGCCCCCAAAGGCCCCAAGAGCTCCTTACTCGCTGGAAATCGTGGATGATATCCGCAGGGTCGCTCCCGCCAAACTGGGGCACTGGGACACTGATTTGCTCGTAGTTCTCCTCAATGTAAATCTTGACATCTTCATGCAACTCCAGCTGCCCTTTGAATGGTGAATACAGTGAGTCTTCATAAAGGACGCCGCAGTGAAACACGCTCTCGCGGGGCAGCTGCAGGGACGAGATCCAGGTGGAGGTACAACACTCATACACCCCACACCCCATTAACAGCTACAGCAAACATGGGAAGAAATGTACCCGTACTGTGTAAAAAAACTCTTTTCAAACAGATGCTTGAATATATTTCACGATCAGTCTTTTTACCAGAAAATGTTCTTGATGAAGATATAATGAAAAACACCCTTGTGAAATGACCACGTCTCCCCTCCTGCTAGACGGGTCCAAAGGGAATAAAGGATTCCCTGTGGGATTTCACAAGGAGGAATTCAGAAAGGCAAACTGACTGCCTTAAATTTCATAACCAGGCTGTTCACATCCATCTATAGACATGGCTTCCAGTAACTGCATTTTTCTACATAAGGCATATAGGCTTGGGGCAAGCAGAGCATCATTTCTAAAGGCGCTTGTAGCTTGGATATGGAAAATGCACCAAAACAAAGCAGCTTCACCTCACGGCAAAACAGGAGCTGCTGCTCTCCAGGGCTCCAGAAGCACAAGGTATGGGCAAGAGAGCTAACGCATGGTGAGAAATCAAGTTTGAGCAGGAGGATCACAGGGACGAACTGCAGCCATTGGAGAACGAGACATAAAGGCCCCGTTCCCTTGGTCTGCAAAGCATCTCTGACCACATTGAATAGGCTTTGCTGTGTAATTGGGTATGAGCTGTCATTTGGTATCCCAGGCAGGCAGTTGGGGTGACAACAGGTGGCCCCAAATGTACCAGCGTGCATTTCCCAGTGCCATTCAGCACACACCAATGGTAGATACTGACTGGGTGATGGACTGAATGCAGGCCATAACCCAGCTGACAACCTTCCTCAGTGTCGGCAGCTTCATCTCATAAGGAAGTGTATACACCAAAAGCCCTGCAACAGGGTGCCATCAAACTATCACAGTGGTGTGGGAGAGGGTTGAGCAGCCCTACAGTTGTCACAGGGTTTCCAGATCAGGTATAAATGAGCTTGGGTGTAATGGGTTCGTGTGGTGCATGGGGTTTTTTTGTTAGTGGGGGAGGGTCGGCCGGGCCAGCTCCCGCTCACAGCTGCTGGAAGCTCCCCCGGCTCCAGGCCGGACCCGCCTCTGGCTCAGGCCGCGCCCATCGGTGACGGTGGTAGCGCCTCGGGGAGAACACGGGGGGGACCCCACGGTGGAGCAGGGGAGGAGCGAGGAGGAAGGAGCGGCAGAGACCCGGGGCGGCGAGCTGACCCCAGCCCCCGTCCCCTGTTGCCCTGCGCCGCCGGGGGGATGTAATCGACAGGGAACCAAATTGTTCCCTGACATTGTGTAATTCGTGTTGAATTAAAAGAAGACAATAAGGCTTACATACCAATCGGGAAGGGGGAAGAGACATACTGAGATTTAGCAGATGCCTTGTGTAAATAACAAGGCTTGCTTAAATGGTGCGTAAAAGTCACGGGAAAAGAGCAACGGCTATAACTTACTAGCTAAGGAGGGAAAAGAACAACAGCTATAACTTACTAGATAAGGAGGAAACAACGGCTATAATTTACCAAATAAGGGGATTAACTCTGCCAAGACTGCACTTCTCCACATCAAAAGACATTCTACATCAAAAAACACTCACCCTTGAGAAGATCGACCGAATCTGCCTAGTAACAAACCTACACGAGTGAAGAAAGAGGAAGCAGGACAAGGCCGAGACTTACAAGAAAGGGCTGCATGAACTGTATATAAGAAATGTAACTATAACATAAAGTTGCGAGCCGTTGGTAGAGCGCGGACTCCCCGGCCGCCCAGCGCTGCTTGCTTGCTATTCTCAATAAATATATTGTTATATAAAAAATTGGCTCTGTCGGTATATAACAGGGAGGAGGCGGAGAGAACCGGGAGGGGAGCTGAGGCGGGAAGGAGGGAGGGCTGGGGGGAAGGTGTTCTAAGGTTCGGGTGCCCTTCCCAGCGTCCTCATTCAGGTTCGACTGGTAGCACATTAAATCGATCTTGTCTCTTCCCCAAGCTGAGCCTGTCTCTTGCCCGTGACCATAAGTGGCGAGTAATCCCTCCCAGTCCTTATCTCCACCCCCGACCCTGCCTTTGTGTTTTCTCCTCATCCCCCCGGGGGCGGGGGAGGGGGGAGCGAACGAGCAGCTGCGTCGTGATTTGTTACCGGGTGGGCTTAAATCACGACAAAAGGTAATAAAGCACTGATGTATCTTAAAACAAAGATTGCAAATTAATTTGAAAGCAAGAAAATTTATGAAGCAAGGGAGTGTATAAAAAGACTATATTGCCGAGTGGCTAAGCGTTGGCTGCAGAGACAAAGGCAGCCAGTGGTCTTGGGAGAACTCATTCACTAATAGCTGCTCTGCAGCAGAACGAAGGCTTCAGTGCAAATTGATGCTCTGGGGTTTCTTGGCAAAACACTCAGCAAGCCACAGAGCTCAGCAGTTTCCTCCTTAAAAAGCAGCTCTGCCCCGTCTCATTCCCTATGCTCTGAGTCACCACAATGCTGCCAGCCCAGCACCTCAGCTAGGCCAAGCTTTGCAAATACTATGTGGAAGAAAAGGTGCTGAATGTAATGGATGTCGAGGGCTCACCTTCCATACCATCTCCCACTTGCTTTTCACTTCTCTGCCTACTTTATTAATAGTGGCACCTATTTTTGTTACACCTACACAGTTTTGCTGTGCTATGGCCTAAAAAACCTACTGCAAAAAGTTGTTCCCTTGCCTGTACCTCCCTGCTCTCTCCAAGGCTTGCTCTCCCCTCACAATAAGCCATGCTTTCAGACTGCCCTACCCGTGACAGCAGTGACGTTGGGTTTAAAAGGTAGAACTGGCAGAATATTTTTATGGAGTTAAAAAAAAAAAAAAAGTCAAAACAAAGCCACAAGGGAGGGCAAGAGGAGAGTTTCTAGAAGGCCTTTCCTAGCAGTCGGGACGGAGGTGAGCCTGAGCCCACCACTTAAGACATGCCTTGACTGCAGTGCCCAGAGGACTGGCTCCCAAGTTACCGCAGTGCAAAGCAATAAAGAACAGCACCATCTCTTTCAAAGGCTGAAGCGGCTTGTCTGGCTGCTCCAGCTGAAGAGCCAGCAGTCCTTCCCAACTTGCCCCTACCTGGGTGACGAAGAAGTATCTGTACACATACATCGATGCAAAGACCAAGGCCAGGAGCAGTACAAGGACACCCATGGTCAGGTAGCACACCCCGCTGAGCGATGACCTCCTGCCCTGCACCGTGGGAGCTGGCTCCTCCTGCGAGACAAAAACAAGAGTATCTGCCAGCTGCCACTGCAAGGGATCAGAAAATCAACTGTATTTTATGCAAAGGCTGTGCACAGGTTTGTGGTGTGCAACTGAAGAAGGCAGGCACCGTCCTGAGAAGTTACTTCACTTCTGACAGCATGAATAAAACACTTCTTGTGCATTTTGCTCTCCCACCCCCCCAAACATATATTTTTTTATATAATATATAAAATATATTTTAAAAAAAAGTGTATGTGAACATACACACATATATGTATACTCTGCTTTCCACCAACTGCTCAGAACAAAGTCAAGCTTTGTTTCAGTGGGCAGTAAGGAGCAACTGAAAAAAAGGAAATCAGGAACTAACAGTTCCTGGCTACTGAATGTAACAGCATTTATGTATTTATACTAAAAAATTTTTGCTAAAATGCTACCACTCTAGCAGAATTTTTCAGGGGAAATTTTTGAGGTGGAAATTACTGGTCTCAGAGAGATACCTCTCCTGGCTGTGCTAGGGTGAGCCTACCCAAACAACTGTGTTGATCTCAACTTCATTTTCAAGAAGATTCCCACATACCTTCCAGGAATATGGTCAGAGCATCAAAAGAAAACATACTCACCGTTTTTGAGCACTGCCCAATCTCTCTAGACAGTAGCCAGCTCACCTTGTTACAGCCCTCAAAAAGGAGGGCAGTGCAAAGGCAGGGTTACCTCCTGGGGACCACTCATCCCAGCCTACAATGTTCTTGGTTTTACTACAAAAATAACCCTCCAAAATGTTAAGCAGGAGGATGTAAGGCCTTTCAGCAGCAGATGAAAGAAGCCGGTTCAGAGATGCCCCAGTTTCCACACAGAAGAGCCAAAAGCTGCCCTCAATTGAGCAGGCAGGCAGGGGAGAGAGGCGCCAGGGAGAACTCACGCAGATTAACTCCCTCTGTGCAGTACGTGATCGGATGTGTTTGATTAGAAAGACACTCTCCACAGCTAGCCAGAGACCAGTATGAACTGGAGGAACAGTTTTAAAAGCAAACAACAGCCTCTCATTTCTAAGATTCATCACTTTTTAAAGAGATGTTTCTCCAGGGTAACATGGCCAAAACCTGCAGGGTGGTGCAGGTGCTGAAGGCCCAAGGGGAGATGACCCTGGGTCCCTGCCACCCTCTGGTGGTATGTGATCAGCTCTGCCCAGCAGAGCTGGCAGCAAACACCTCTTTCCCCTTTCCCTGCCTTGGAGCTGCCCTCGTGAGAGCAGCAGTTCAGCCCCAGGCTTGGAGGTATCAGGTCGCTCCTGCCCTGAGACTAGAGCACCCCACCATCCCTGGGGCACCCATGGGGAGCCCACCAGGCAGGGATCCCCTCCACCTTCCCGGCACCTGAGCTCCATTGAGGTACAGAACAGGGGCAGAGCCAGGGTCCTGCAACCCCTCTGCTACCTGCTCCACACCCAGCCAACATGGACTGCTCTAGCCATTGACTTTTTCTTTTCTGGCCACATACAGACTGATAATTGCAAAGACCAAATTGCTTTGGGAGAGCTACAATTCCAGCACACCTCCAGGAGAAACTAATCTATATTTATTTCTCCTTCATCCCAGCTGTTGAAAGATCCGCAGCACCTCTGTTCACCGCCAGCTCTCTACACTGAAGGATCAGTGTAACCAGTTTGTTGCTGCTCCTCCACCAAATAAAGGGATGAGCAAACTGAAGAATACCACATTTTAAGTTCACTTCCAATCTTTCCCTGTCTCTCCTCCTGCAGACGAGGGGCAGCAACTGTGAGAAGCCACAAAAAAAAAAAAAAGTCACATTACTAGAGGAAGTTTAAAGGCTCTCTGACATGAACTGGTAGGACAGGAGAGTCATGCTGCATGTCAAGTGTTTCACAAAAACAGATTTCTCCAGATACATGTCATCAGAGAAAGAGTGCAGACAGTGGGGGTGAAGAGGAACGAAAAGATCTTCTGCTACTGACACTGAAGCAAGGCTGAGAAAATGTTTAATGCTCCACAAGCGAATTACATCCGAAAGGTGCCAGGTTCCCATGATGGGTAATGCACTGCTCGCTTCCTCAGTGAGCTGCAAGTGCTAACCCCATGGAAAGCTTGGGGAGAGGGTTCAGAAGGACACAGCGACTCAAAGAGGAAAACAAATACTCCCAGTAAAAAAAACCACCTGTGTTTGAAGAATGGTAGGGAGGGGCAAATAAGCCCTTGCTGGTTTGCTATTTGCTAAAGCAGCTCTTTGCTCTTTGCACAGCCAAAGACACAGTGAGACATCCCACCTCTCACTGCCAAAGGATATGAGTTCAGCTCCCTACAAAGCATTCAATGGCTTCAGGAAAAACGCCTGCATTTTGCATCTTGGGAGAAGGTAGGGGAAGTGAAGGAGAGCTTTGCCCTAGGAGAAGTTACAAAACACCAGGAAAAATTAAAAAAACCCTCAAATTCTGAGCGGGGAAAGAAAAACTCAGCAGCAACCATTCTGATGGAGTGGGGATTAAGGCAGTGAGGTTAAAAATGCTGCCAGGCAGGCCAAGGGGAACAATTAACCACAGTCCTGCAAAATATTGCATAAAAATCACCTGCGCAAACCGTCACTAAAATATGCATCTCCATCCCCCAGCCCAGCAGACTGAAAGGCCATCAGCCTTTGTCACTGTGAATGAATTACAATTTAAAAGCAACTACATGCCAGTTGGCACCTCGGCTTCAGGCTGGAGGCATTCTCAGCGCTGACAGCCTGTGGACGGTGCAGCGCGCAACCTGCTTTAGCAGCATTTCACCCAGGATAACAAATCTTTACCAGGCTGGAAAAATCCAAGAAGCTTCTTCCACAGGCTGCTGCACCGCTCACGCCACAATGTACCTCCTTCCCACAGGACCGCCACTCCCTGCAGTAGAAATGTGGGTATTTTAAAAAATGGGCAATCCATTGCAGCTGATTTCCATCTGTTCTTGCCATAGGAACACCTGGGTCTCCAGCAAGGAGCTAACCTTATCATAAAGAGAACCAGGCAGTCCCAGCAGCAAGCTGCAGGAAAGCCATCCGTGCCAGAAAGACACCAGGACAAACCAGCAAACCAAACCATGCACCACGCTCATGCCGCATGGCAGACTCTGCAGATTTGGCAGCATTGCTGGTCTCCATGAATTTTGGTGGTGGGGAAAAGAATTAAACTCGGCAGCAGGGTTCTCCTGAAGAGCAGATCACACCTTCGAGACATGCATTTCCACTGAAGACAAAAAATCAAAATATTAACACACAAAAATGCTGTACGTTCACCAGATGTTTAACAATATTCCATAAGAATTCATTAACCAGATACTTTTCTTGCAACAAGCCATCCTACTAATTCTCTGCCTCAAACAACTATGGGGTTTTTTGGCAAAGAGAAATGGCAAAAGTTGGTGTCAAAACCATCCCTGGGAAGAGGCAGGGACAGGTATTTCAGTTCAGCAAATGGGCTTTCCTTTTGTTATCATTTTAAACATGATATTCCAACAGATGGGCATATTTTACACAAAAATCAACATAAGGTCCTTCCTCCTCTCTCTGGGCGGTGCAGAGGACAAGCACTCATTTGCTCCTCCATGAACAAACAGATAGAGAAGTGACAGCAGTAGAAGAAGAGCATGATGTCCCATGGTCCAGGTGCTATGGATGTACACAGATGGAGGATGCACAGACAGATCCACAGCTCTGCGGAATATCCTTCTGCGATTTCAGGGCAGGAAAACCCTGCCACTCCATGCGATGATCCTTTCTTTGCTCCATATTTCTTGGCACCACCGCATGCTCCAGCGCCAGTGCAGGCAGCGGAAGCCACCGCTGTGCTGACCCTATAGAAAGGGCTGGGCTGGCTCCCTTTCCACTGGGAAAACTGAAAGAAGCCGTGGGCAGAGCTCCTTCCCCTGCACAACCCGAGGGGAAGGCACAGCTCACTCTTCCTCTGCGTGGGCAATGGGGGAAAGCAACCATCTCTCAAGAAGAGTGCCTGCGCATCTTGGTTTTCCGCCAGGCATTGTCCTGCTAATACTTCATCCCACTGGGTGAGAGACAGAGGAAGCTCCAGCATGCAAGCCTGGAAAACCAGACATGCTGACTCCGCTCCAGTTTGCAAGCACGATTGCTTCACAGACACTCAGCCCAGTGCCTGGCAGCAGACAAGATACTGGAATATAAAAAGGAATTCCTTTCCTTGGATAAAACAGGCTCTTCACTACGCTTCAGCACTCTGCCTGCTTGCAAGGCTGGCACAGGAGCAGAGCACAGCCGGCAGATACCTAGATGGGAGAGGATGAAGTTATGGTACAGACCATTTGGCAGAGGAGGCTTGAAATTAGCCTGAGGGAGGAGAAAAAGTCCTAATTCAGTCTTCGTGGATTTTCTTCAGAATTTCAGTTCTTGCTGAGGACATGATGAAAATGGCTGGTGTCCTGTTATCCCTATTTGTTACTGAATGGCTAAGGAACATCTCTACTACAGGGGGCTGGAGGACAAAAGCCTGGCTGTGCTTTACAGGTACAATGTCTGGTCCATAGCATGGAAATCAAGTCCAAAGGCCAGAGTAAGACAGAGCAGGGAAACCATCAATGCCTGTCAAGCACTGCCAAGGGCACCAACTGCTGAGCAAACCCTCCTGGCTTCACGGCACTGAGCCTTTGGACACACAAAACTAGTAAGAGCTGCTAGCAAGAACCACACCCAGTGACATGCTGCCTTTGATATTTCTCATGAATACAGTACAGGGTTATGAAAAATAGATATTTGATTCTATCGTTTCTTCATCAGCAATGTCTTCCTGAAGATTACAGAAGTGAGGAAATTAAAGGTGTCATATCATGCCTTGGTCTCTTCCTGAGTTGCACACCGCCTTGGCAGAGATGGACTCAGCTCATACCTTTTTCCTGCTTCTTCAGCTTTGGAAACAGCTGAGTTCTCCACAAACCACTTTTCCTGCATTTCTGAAACACACAGGTTTGAAATCTTTCATTTTAGGTGTAGCA